GGAGAGGCAGCGACCAGCAGAGAGACTGGCCAATGGCAGCCGGGCTTCCCGCTGAGCCGGCTGCTAGGAAGCCCACCCAAAGCCACCCTGCCCAGCACCTAAGGACATAGGCGAAGCAGTGAAGGCGTACATCAAAGGCCCTGCACCCCTCAGAGGTTTCCCAGCAGCAACCGGAGGAGGCGTGGCATGACCTCAGGCACAGAGCCCCCGATGGGACCCCAGGCTGGGAGAAGGGGCAGCTCGCTGCTCTGCTGCGTCTCAGCCCCCCAGCCCAGGGAACACATTGGCCAGGCCACAGGGCCCCAGGAAGTCCCAGCCCTCAAGCCCAGAGTGGGGAACACTGGGACCCGGGGGTCTTATCCTTGTCTGACTCTGGAAAAGTGGAAGTGGTTGCTGGCTACCAGGGAGAAATGGACTCTCCCTGGGGAACATGAAGCCACTGGGCCAGGAGAAAACAGCCAAGTCACCTCCCAGTAGTGAGAATCACTCCAGTGTTCACACCTCTGCAGTCCCAGGCAGCCTGGATCCATCCAGACCTTCTCAGAGAGACTGCGCTTTGGTCTCTCTCGCTGCCATGTCCTGAGGCTACAGAACCTTCATAAAACACTGAGCACAGGAAGCTCCGATGGCAAGTAAACGGCTTCAGACAATGGAGAAAAGTCGGCCCAGTGCTGAACTGAGCAGGTGGAAGCTGCCGACTGAGCAGGAGCCGCCATGGGTAGATTCAATTACACAGCAGACAGCCTCCCCTGCACATTCTTTACCTGCACACGGTAATGAGGAGGAAGGGGCTCCGCGTGCAAGAACAAAGAACCCGCCCTGGAAGAAAACATAACTCCAGGAGTGACAATAAATGCCTCATGATTGCTTTATGCTGAAGAGCAGCTTAAAAGGGCCTAGAGTCTCTAACAAGGGAACTCAAGAGAGACCATGATAAGCAGATGAGACAAAAACGGAGAATGTAGACATGCGGAAGCAAACCAGTAACAAAACAACACCATTACAGAACTAACAACACACTAGAAACAGCAAGAAACAGAATAAAAACCACTGAAAATAATTGCTCATGTGCAGGAAAAGCTTGAGAAGATATTCCCTGAACAACGCACACAGCACTTCCGTGTGCCCAGCACTGTTCTGAGCACCTTACGAATAGTAACTATGAATCCTCACACTAACCTCATGAGGCAGGGACAATTATTATCTCCATTTTACAAAAGAGGAAAGTAACGCACAGAGAGGTCTAGTATCTTGTCCAAGGTCGCACAGCTACTATGTGGCAGTCTGGCTCCCAAATCCTTGCAATTAACCACTTCGTTATATAATATAAATCACTATGTAATGTAAATTTATTTATAAGTATAAAATATAAGTATATATTCACTATATAATAATATAAACTTACAAAATAAGCCACTTCACTTGACTAATAGTAATAACAATAAAAATCCATTGAAATACTAATCCCTACCAGCTTCATACAGCTTGCTGTGGGCTGAGCACTGTTTTAAGAGCCTTACGGATATTACCAAGTCCTTTAATCCTGATGCTGCCCCATGAGACGGGCACGTTAGCCCTACTCGCTGATACGGAAAGAGGCCCAGTGAGCTTAGTGCCTGCATAGTGAACACAGACGGAAAAGGGAAAGACCCAGAAGAAACGATCACAAGGGGGCACACACAGCCAGAGCAGGTCCCCGAACATGTACCCGACAGTAACCCACAGGGTGCCTGAAACTGAGGAGGAAACTAATGTATTCGTTAGAAAGGACATTTTAATCAAGGAAATATAAATAAAACAGATAATGTTGAAATATCTTATTTCCTAGGTAACTATTAGAGAATTCTTCAGGCACCTTAATGGACAAAAATAACTTAGGAAGGTAAAACATTGCAATCTGGCTTCAAATTTCTCCATAGCAACAGCAATGTCCAAAGACAGCAGTGTCTGTAAGTCCTGGGAGAAAATGCGATACCCAGCCCAGGCAGCATTCAGGTGTAAAAGCCAAGACATCTTTTAAGATCACTTAGGCAATGAGCCAACATAAGCAACCATGAAAATACTCAGAGGTTAGCAAAGCCCTAAGTCTCTCTTTAAAAAGGTATTTTAGAAAAACATCTAGACAATTAAGAGAGGAATTAAAGAATTTGGAAACAGAGAAATGGCTTAAAAACTGGTGGTAGGCATTGAACCTGTTTATATCTGTAACTAATACTAAATAAGTATAGGAATTCTGCTTCCAGAACCAGATAAGGATGCTGCAGGAGCTCCAGACATCACATCCAAGTTTCCAGGAGGCAGCAGGGAGGAAGAGGGGACAGGCAAAGGCTATCTCTGGAACCCTAATGATTCCACTCACATCTTATCAACCACCCCTATGTGTGGGAAGCTGGAAATGTACTCTTCAATCTGGGGCTGTTGGAGGGCTAACTACTGGGTGCCCTCCTTCTCCCGGCTTTATGGGCGCCTGGGTCTCCTGCTGCCTTCTCTCTCCCCTGGCTGTCCTGCCTGTCTCCTTCAGCACTGGGGCTTTGTGGACCTACTCCTCCTCTCTGTCCAGCCACTCCTGAGGCAGTCTCAAACTAGCTTCTAGCTATCCTCTCGTTCATGTCCTGCCTGGAGCTTCTGACAGTGGCCCCCAGTCCCTGGGTCTCTGCATGCCTCTGGCTGCTGGCCCCTGGGGAATCTGCCTCTCACGACCTGCCCATCTCTGTGTCTGCGTGAATTCTAGTCCTGCTTTTGTCATGATCAAGCCTTCCTGGTAAACAGAGCCCTCTGACTGGATGATTTTCCAGCAAGGCTATATTTTCTCTACCTGTGATAATTCTGTCACCTCCTGCTACCACCCGTTTCACCTGTTGTACATCAGGGTCAAGAGAGACTGGAGGGCCAGTGGTAGAGGGTGGGAACTAGTGCCCCCGGGCCCAGATGCCCTGCACAGTCCTATTCACTGGCCCGAATGGGCAACACCTGTCCCGCTCTGTTGCTCTCCAGCAGCGCCTGGCTTCATAGGAGCAGGTGGGGAGAAAGCAGAGAGAAGGCAGGGGTCACTCGGAGGGGGGGCGCTTCCCCAGGCTTGCTTGTAAAGGGAACAGGAAAGCTCGCACTGGACAGATGCACCGAGAATCTGCAGCGAGGGGGAAATGAGAGGACAGAGGGCTGCTGCCCTGGGAGGAGGCGGAGGAGGCCTTGTCCCAAAGCGGCAGAAGAACAGCGAGTGGAGGAAAGGAGCCTTGGGCAGAGGGCTGAGGGAGGGGCTGGGAGGGCCACGGCCCCGTCAGTCCAGGCTCCAGAGAGATCTGGGCACAGGCAGCTGACTTGGACCCCAGAGGCGGTCTTGGGGATCAGGGGGAGGTCAAGGAGGCCCGAGGCCTGTGCCGTCAGGTGGGTATCAGAGTGACGGGTGACGCCATGGAGAAGGCGGGGAGCAGACCCTGAGGCTGGTGGATGGCTCACATGTCAGCGACAGCAGCGAGTTGGCAGTGACTGGGGGGACGAGGGCTTCAGGGGGCGAAGAGACAAGAGGCCGCGGGGCCAGGAGGGAGCAGCGGAGTAAGGGTGGGCCGCCCCGCCCGCGGGGAGATGACAGGCGCAGCGCAGGAGAGCCTGCCCCGGGAGGGCAAGAGCACGGGCGGGGTGCGGGGGGGGGGGGGCTGGAACACAGGCAGGGACTGGCCCGAGCCGCTGGGGTGCGCCCCGCCCGCCTGCTGGGAGTCTGGGGGCGCGGGCTGGGGCCTGCAGGTGAGACCCCAGGCCTGGCGTCGGGGCAGCACTCCACGAGGGCTTTCCAAACGCAGCAGCGGCCTTTAAACAAGGGAACGTCAGGGAAAAGCCCAGCGGAGAACGATCCCCTGGGAACAAGACCCGGGCTCGAAGCCAGCGTGGGCCGCAGGGGCGCCTGGGGGGCCGGGAGGGCCGGGCAGAGCCCCGAGCTCCGCCAGGGCTGCTGGGCGTTCAGGGCGCAGCCGCGCGTGGGCTGTGGGGTCTCCGGCTGAGCGCACTGACTGCACCTGCGAGGCGGCGGCGATCCCCCCGCACCCCGTTCATCCAGGGCGCTGGCCGCGCTCCAGGCCGGGGCAGAGCTCCCCTCCCTGCGCTGGGGGAGGCAGAACGGCCCGGCCACAGCGCCGGGGACGCCCGCCTGCAGGCGGCAGGACGCGCGGGCCCAGGTCCCGACGGGGGTCTGCAGCGGTGGGGGCGCGTCAGAGCGCAGAACGGCGGGGGACGGGGGACGCAGGCCCCACCGAGCTAAGCCGGGGCTGCGTGTCCGCGCAGGGCCGGGGGGCCGCTCGCTCCTTCCCCGCTGTGCCGCCGGGGCCACGCGCCCAGCCCGAGCTCCCCGGCGCCCCCGCAGGTGAGCGGGGGACGCCACGTGGGGGGCGCGGGGAGAGCCTCGGCGGCGTGAGCCCCCGCCTCAGCTCCGGTGGCCTCCCCGGCGCCCGCTCCGGGCCCACAGGCGGCCGCACCTGCTCCCCGGCCCCGCAGAAGCCCCGCCTCCCAGGGGCTCCTGCTCAGCCCCTTACTTGCCGGGTGACCCTGCCCTGGCCACGCCGTCTCCGGGCCTCTGCGTCCGCATCCGTGCGGGGGCCGAAATCCTCCGGGCTCCTCTCCGCCGCGCCGCGGAGCCGGGACGTGCCCGCCAGGATGCGCGTGCCGCGCGCGCCCTCTAGTGCCGGGTCCCCGCCGCTGCGCCGTCCTCGCGGACGAGCCCCGCGCCCCTTCCGTGAACTGATTCATTTAAAAGACTATAAGGAAAAGAATGGGATAAAGCTCAGAATGCATAAATAATAGGTGAGTGACAATGAATGACTGACACTTGAATCAATGGACATTAAAATGAATGTGTGCACAGAGTAAATGAGCAGTTAATGCCCTTCTTTGTGACTACTTTCACGCACGTCGTTAGAATAAAATACCAGGATGCTTATCCTGCCTTCAAGGCCGTGTGCAGAGTGTGAGATCCTGCCCGCGCTCGCGCTCACCCGTCTGCCACAAACACCCCAAGAGCTTCCCCTCTCGGCTCTGCACCGCCTTTTCCTCTGCAGGAAGCCTGCCCTAGCTGCCTCTCCACCACCCCAGCGCAGTGAGTGCGGCTGCTGGTCCTCTTCCTGCTACCGGGGAGCCGCCCTCCCACCCAGTCCACCCGCAGCGTCTGTCTCTCCTTCCAGGCCTTACACGCTGTAACCACCAGGCACGTGCCCAGGGTCTGCTGATTGCCCAGCACATGGTAGGTGCTCAGGACACACAGGAGCTGGCTGTTCCCGGGAGTGAGCTCCCGTTCCAGGCCCCATCCACCCTGCCCTGGAGCTGATGGCCTGAGCGCTCTGGCCCCAGCACAGGGGTGGCAGAGAGCCCAGCCTGGGCCCGTCCCAGCTGAGAGCCTTGCCTTCCTCAGTCCTGGGTGGGGGGACTCGGAGAGTCGGTGGGTCACTGCCTGCCAGCCTGTGCCTCCTGCTGGCCTCGCCCGTGTGGAGGGGGGGCCTCACCTGAGACAGGGCCAGGGAGCTGTGTTCATCAGCTGGCAATCAGGGCAGCACAGGATGGCTTCTCCCAGCCTCCAGGACAGCCCAGAATCCCCCCCAACCCCGAGTCCCCTCAATCTGCTTCCCGCTCCCCTGATTCCAGAGAGCCCGGCAGATTTCAGCGCAGCCCAATTAAAGGTGCTCCAGAGGATAAAAATAGCGTCTGATTTCAGAAGGGCCCCTTCCCTGAGACCCCTACAGCGCCTCCTGTGATCAAAGCTGGGTGAGGAGGCCCCCAAGCTCATTTTCCTTCACCTTCCGTGCACTCAAATCCGTTTCATCTCTGCTGTCCTGTGAGTACCACTAGCCACCTTAACTTTCCAGTAGTTCGCCCTTTCTGACTTTGCTCACAGGAGGGGAAGGACATGCCACACCCCCACTTTACTTCCTTAAGTGCCTTGGGAGGCACTTTCCTGGGGGAAGCAGGGTGACTGGCTGGGAGGTGGGAGGCCTGGGTCCCCTCCTACCATCCCAGAGGCCAGGCAGAAGGCCATGTGGGCCCTGACGTTGCCCATGCACGCCTGTGCTGCCCTCATTCAGGCCCTCACTGAGCCCCTCAGGAGTGCCAGGCCCTGCAAAGCCCCAGGAAGGCAGGCCTCCTTTTTAGGGGTAAGGTGTCTGCACCCAGACCGGAACTCAGACCTCAGAACCTCTCCAGCACGTGCTCCTTCCTTCCCTCCTGCCCCATGCAGTGCCCTAAACAGCCCTGGGGCCTCCCCTCGAACTCCTGCAGTGATGGGGCAGGGTCTGGGGGATACATGGGGGGGTGCGGCCGGTGAGGAGGCAGCTCCTTCAAGGAGGCTTCTTCAGTGGGTAACACTCCTTAGCAGTTTCTTTATGTGGAATTGAGAACAGCCTGCTTGTGACATCAGCTCCGAGAGCCCATCTCCCCCTCCGACCAAACAGCATGTCACACACAGGGACAGGTGCGTGGTGACAGCCGTCCCGCCCTCCCCACCCCTGCTGCTTGCTGGCCTTTCAGTGACCAGCCCCCTCCTCCTGCACCCACAGTCTCTCTGACATTGACTCTGTCTAAGCAGGCAGGCAGCCTGGCTGGCCATCCACTCACTCCCACCTGTGTGAGCGACGGCCACAAACTCTGTTCCGCTCTTTAAGCCTCACCCAGACTCCTCGCATGGTCTGGGGGCGGCAGATCTGGGTGGTCCACCCAGTGTGCACCCCGCCGGGCTCTCTCTGCCCTTGGAGACTTCCCTCGCTGTGCTGCGGCTGTGGCCGGCCCACGCCTGTCCCCTAGTTCTTCAAGCCAGAGAGACTCTGGGTTTTCTGTCCCTGCTTCCTGTCCCTGCGGCTCATGCAGCTGCCGAGCTCCAGCTGGCGAAGGGGAAGCCAGAGGCTGGCCTGTGCCTCCCTCCCCAAGCCCACGGCAGTGGCCACCTGTTTTCAGGTGTACTTGTGATGGTACCGTGTCCAAGCTGGCAGTCACACCTCACAGCAGGGCTAGTCTTGGGGGGGGCCACTCCACCTTGTTAGGAGGAACTGCTTCCACCGTCAGTATATTCCTATCATCAGGCCTATGCCTGAGCCCCTCAGCTGATCAGCAATGTCATGTCAGCATCCCAGGTAGTTGGTTCCAAGGAGCAGTGACAGGTGGCATGCCACCTCTCCCCGAACCCCATGACTGTGGGAAGAACCAAGCACTTTCCCTATCACTTGATTTTTAAATTTGACAGAAACTCTGTGGAAACCCTGTTTCAGCCAAAACTGTCTCTACCCTGGAGGCCCCCGGTGTCTCAGTCCACACCACCCCCACCCCATGACATGCACAGCAGCTCCGGAAGGCCTGCTCCCCGTCAGAGCCCCCCTCGGCACCTCGTGGCAGTCGGGGCTCTGGCAGGCAGCCCAGACTCCCATCCCAGCACCGGCCCTGGGGCTGTGTCGGCTCCTACAGCAGGACCCCCGTGGGCGGGGGCCCCTGAGGTCCCCCTCGCTGCCCCGCCCAACCTCCCTGCACATCAGGCAGACTGTCTTCAGGACTTTCTGTCGCCTGAGACGGGGTGAAAGGGGCTGGGGTGCGTCCCCCGGTTTGGGCCAACAAAACTCCCTTCTCACCGTGGGCAACACAAAGACACACCATGCAGACCACTCAAGAAAGGACACGGCACCAGGAACGGGGACCCACGGCCAGTCCCAACGCTAATCCTTCAGGTCTGCTCAGCTTTCGTGGCAGAGTCATGCCTTCTCCTGGCTGCCCCCAAACAGTAACTGAACATGGCATGGCAGGTGTGTGAGGGCCCGGCCATTTCCCGGACACAGGGCGCCAGGACAGAAGGGCCTCCGGGACAGGCAGGGCCGTGCGACAGACCCCGTTTCTCTGGAGCCCCTCCCAGCTCCTGTGAGCCAGCAGAGAAGCGGTCAGAGCTCACTGTGGGCTGGTGGCCCCCCCGGCCCAGTCCCCAGCTCTTCCCTTGCCTGGGTGCACCTACCCACAAGTCTTTTGCTCTCCCCACCCTCTCCCTCTGACACACCTACCCTGAGAATCCTCTCCCTGTCACTCTGCACCCTTCCTGCCCTGCCCACGGGTGTCAGCCTGCCCTCTGCAGCCGGGGCCCTCATGTGGATTGCTCAGCCCTCCCTGTCTTGCTAACAGCCAGCGTGGGTGACACCCGTGTGTCTAAAGGCCCTAATTGCCACTGTCCCCAGTCAAGCTGAATGGGGTCTCCATGGTGGCTCTATGTGCAGCCCTGAATCGCTGCCAGCCATGTCCCCGTGCTGTCCGCAAACACTCACTGAAGGGATGAATGAATGCTTCTGGGCGCGTCCCACGGAGGCAGGGGAGAGCTGTCCTCAGGCTGCCGTGGGGACAGCGGCTGGAGGGCACCACCCCCATGCCCACCCAGTGGCCTCTCAGAAGGGAGCTGACTTTAATCAGGATGAGAGAGGGTCAGCGGACCCTGCAGAAGTGACAGGCTTTAATTTATAATTGTTTCCATCCTCATTTCCCGCTTCTGTTCCTCTGACAGGCTCCCTGCACTTAAATCAGCTCTGTCCTTTCTGCCCAAGGAGAAACAGAAATCAGGAGCCAGGCAGTGATTTGTGGAAGCCTGGATGTGGGTGAGGAGAGGGGGCAGCTGGCGAGTGAGGACAGGGTGACCTGGACACGCTCCCTTCTTGGCCACCGCAATCACCGTGCACTGGGGGCAGGACTGGGCTTCCTCCACCAGGCCACCACGGGAGGAGGCTCTCATTATGTGCACTTTAAGGTAAGAAAACTGGGCACAAGGAAGCCGAGTGACCTGCGTGAGGCAATGCCGCTAGCGCCCACTGGAGTTTGGGTGCATGTGGGGCTGACCAAACAGGTGCTCAGACTCCAGGAGGACAGCAAGGGTCTGGCCCCCAAACCCCACCTGCTGAGAGCCACCTGCCCTCCGAGCACCAGCACTGCGCCTGGCTTTGATGGACATTTACTCGATCAGATCACCTGTGTGCGCACGCTCTGCGCCAAGCCGTGGACATGGAGGAGCACGTAGCTGCCCCTCCCCTGGAGCCCCCAGGGGTGGAGGACGGAGCTAGGAAGCCCAGCATGTGCACTGCACAAGCTTGTTCCGCAGAAACAGGAGCTTTCTGGGGGAGGAGCAGGGGGGAAGGTAAGGCCTTCTTGGTCCATAAAAGCCGATTCTAAAGGCTCAGCATTTTCTGGCCATGGACCATGAGGGTCGAGGCCCAGTGTGTGTGGAGGACCAGAGGGCACACCGTGGTGGAAAGGAGGCATTTGGCACTGGCACTGAGGCCACCGGGATAGCTTACCTGGGGGGAAGGGGCCAGAGAACACAGAAGGCTCCCAGGAGGGCCTCAAGCACATAGGCAAGGCACGTGCAGTGAGCACGGCTGGTGGGCATTGAGGCTGCCAGGGAAGGGCTCAGGGCTCAGAGGCCCGAGCTGGACAGTGCGCTGGCGGGCAGTCCCTGCAGGTGTCCCCCACCGCCCACCTACTTGCTCCCTCTTCTCCTGACCAGGGGCCCTGGGTGGGCTGCAAAGTGCTGAGCCTGAGAATGTGAAATCGTAGCTGGGGAGCAGCCTCTCACCCAGTGCGCTCACAATGGAGACGAGATTGGGCCCAGATGGTGAGCTGTGTGCTGAAAGGGGTCTGTCTCGTGCACTGCACTTGACCTACCACCGAGCCCAGTGCCAGGCACATAGCAGGGACTCAGGTAATACTGGATGGGTGGATGGGTGGAGGGTGGGTAGGTGGGTGAGTAGATGGGTGGGTGGATGGGTGGATGGATGGATAGATGGATGGATGGAGGGATGGATGGGTGGATGGATGGGTGGATAGATGGATGAATCAATGAATGAAAAGGTATCAGATATGCTCTACTGTAAAGAAAGCACTAACCACAATGCATCAGTTAACACACACACACGTGCTCATCAGCACACACTCACTTGAGACAATCACATGCTCCTACATACAATTCATACTCATGCACACATAGAGGCATGCTACACACACACAAACACACACACACACACACACACACACACACACACACACACTGCCACCCTGGTTCTGGAGAGGTGACTTACCCACAGGTGCCAGTCTATGGATAGTGGACAGGGTGGAGTCTGTCTGCCAGCACAGGTCACCTGAAATCGATTCAATGGGTCATGACCAGTGTTCTTGAGAAAGGAAGAAGAAAAAAGGAAAATATAGACTCGAAACCACCTAGAGGTAGAGGGTAAGTGCAGACCCCACGGCAGCAGAGCCCAGCTCACCTGAACTGCTCCCCAGGGTCCAGGGCAGCCAAGGCCCAGAGATGCCCCCAGCCCTGGGCTCCTGGGACGGCCTCTGGACCATGGAGCCCCTCCCCCCTCACCACTCTCCAGGCCCTGGTTCAGAGCCCTCTGCTTGGTTTTACCACACCTGTGTTGTCTAAGGAGGCATCGAACACCCCAGAGCCCCCCCAGGTCCTGCAGCACCTGCCTGCGCGCCAACCCCCACAGCCTGCCCTGGGGAGGCCGGGGGCCGACCCCCTCCTGTCTGTGCCCCGCAGCATCCTCAGAGCTCCACTTCTCAGGACGACAATGCATCACGCCATCCTGGACCGGTGCGAGCTGGCGCTTTGCCTGTTCCCACGGGGTGAGTTCAGAGAGAGAATGCTGTGCCCACAAATGGCAGAGGAGGACCCTCTGGGGCAGATGCAATGCAACCGAGGGCACTGCCAGCCTAGGGCTGTTCTGTGAGGCGCCATTCCGCCACCTCCCGGCTCCTCACTCCGTGCAGACGAGCCGGCCCCTCCTCCGTGGCCTTGGACCTGGCACCGGGCCCCGGGCCTTTACCTGCGGCCCAAATGGTCTTCCCTTAAAAAGACGGTCTCCTCCCTGTATTAGTCAGGGTTTTCCAGAGACACAAAACCAGCAGAAGAGAGAGAAAGAGATAATAGACAGACAGTAGATAATAAAGAATTTGTTGTAAGGAATTAGCCACGTGATTTTGAAGGCTGAGAAGCCCTGAGACCTGCAGTCCAGCCTGAGACCTGGAAAGGCACTGGTGTAGGTCCCAGTCCCAGTCAGTCCCAGTCCCACTCCCAGTCCCAGTCCCAGTCCCAGTCCCAGTCCCAGTCCCAGTCCCAGTCTGAAGTGAAAGAAACCAGCATCCCAGCTGGAAGACAGTCAGGCAGAGAGAGCATCCGCTCCTGCTCGGCCTGTTGGTCTAGTCCCGCTTTCGGCATATGGGATGAGCCCACCTGCGCAGGGAGGGTGGTCTGCTGTCCTGCCCACAGATTCAGTTGTTGATCTCGTCCAGAAGCACCTTCACAGGCACACACAGAATAATGTTCAACCAGACACCTGGCCACCCCGCAGTCCAGACACTTGGCACTTAAAAGTCCCCCCACACTCCCTAAATGCCCCCCATTTGCCCGGTTGCATTACAAGGGGTAAGAGCTCAGAAGGAGGAGCATTTATTTGTTAACCTGTCTGTGTCCTGTCTTTTCCACCAGAACCCATATCCTGGGACAGCAGGCACTTCCCCCTCATGCTGAACCACAGGGCCGGAAATGGGACCTGCACACAGTAGGTACTCAGAAAAGGCTTCCTGAGTGCGTCAATGGATGGAGGGACCAGAGTAGTGGGTGGTGTTTTTAGTATTTTTCTCAAGTTTCTAAAATACTTAAATGGATCGCATCTTACATTTTTAAAATGTCATAAATGGTACTATTTTAGTTTTTTAATGCCAATTTGTGAAAATCTCTGAGTTCCCTTTCCTGCCAATGTTTCCTAGCCTGGGCACCAACAGAGGCATTTTTCGCTGCCAGCTGGCCACTGTGTGGGCCTCTGCACCACCTTTCTGAATAGTAAGACTTTTCATTCCAAGAGAAACGAAAAGTCTGTTTCTTATGAACCAAACATTACAGCCTATGTTCACCCATCTAATCCTCACAACAACCCTTGAGCAAGGCAGGCTGACCACACTGGGTGGAGAGGTCCTGGCTCTTGTCCCACTCACATGCCAGTGAGCCAGGAGTCCAGAGCCCGAAGTGGCAGGAGGGCCCAATGCCGGGTGAGCACAGGACACACAAGGTGGCCAGCAGTCCTGCTTCCTGCCAAAATTTCTCATGCAACTTTCTTTCCCGATCATGCTGTGTGCTGGGAGAGTATGTGCAGGTGCATGTCAGTGTGCATTCTGCAGGCAGATGTCACACACACACAGCTTGCATGCGGATTCAGATAGGCCTGTGCAGCCCTGGGTTGTGTGTTAATGAGTGTGTTATCTGTATGTCTTGTGTGTGGCTCTTTGTGCTTTGTAGTGGGGGGGGGGGTGCACATGCATGTGTGTGTGCGTGTGGGGTGGGGGTGTTCTGTCTTCCATGCATGCGTGTGTCTGTTTCACACCAGGGGAGGGTGAAAAAGAAAGCATATGGTACCTGCTCCCAAGAAGCTTCTAGCATAAGGAGGGAGGAAAACCAAACACATGGAGGCCCTCGGGTAAAGCGTGGACCCGGGAAGGTTAAATCCTGTGCCCCAGCCCGGGCCGGGTGCTGGACTTGCATAGGCGGGCTGTGCAGCTGCCCGGGCCCACCACCTACCAGGTAGGGAGTTGCACCACAGACCAGACCCCGGCTTCTTCAGCTCCACCATGGGACACACTGCGCAAGCTCCATGAGAACCTCCCGGATGGACGGCGGCTGGCCCATGGGGGGCAGCCAGCAGGGTCAGGAGGGCGGGCCTGGGATTTGGTCCCTGGGAGAGGAGGGGGCTGTGGTCGGGGCCCCCAGAAGGCCTCCCAGAGTAGGAGCTTTGAGCTGGGGCCTGTGGACGGTGTTGAAAGCAGGGTGTGGCTGGGAAGCCCAGAAGGATCTGGCCGAGCTCACTTCTCCACCAAACCCCCCAGGATGGCGTGGAGCATCCGCGGAGCCCCAGGGAAGCCGCAGCCCCATCTGCTCCAGCAGAACACGGCCGCCACGCCCCCAGCCGGGCACCCCAGCCACTACCGCACCATCGCTGTCCATGCTTCCTGCTAAACCCCCTGGCCACCCTCACACAGCCACAGGGGCCAGGACCGGGGAGGCTGGGCCACTGCCTCTCTCTCGGAAAGGACATAATAAATGTCATAGTAAAGGAAGAGCCATGCTCTCATTTGTCTGTGAAGTCTCGTGTACAGGAGTTTTATCAGCCATGAAATTAGCCCTTCATGCTCCCCTACACCAGCAGCCCCATGAGGGCTGGGGCACTGCCTCCGCGCCTCCTGTGAGCACGGGGGGACTGTGCCCTGGCCCAGCCCTCCCTGATGCCCAGGGGTGATTTAAAATGCAGCCATTTTGTGGCAGCCACTGTCGTGGGCCAGGCCACACCCAGCTGTCAGGGTGCACACACAGCAAGGACACAAACTCTCCGGCCGCTTGCTCTGCGGGCCCAGCTCTGCCAGAGGAATCGGCTGCTACCCCTGGGGCTGCGCCTGAACAGAGCCCTCCTCGGGTCCCAGGAGCCCGGCACTATTCAGATACCACTCCGAGTCTTTGACATTTCAGACTTTGGGAAGACTGTGAGATGGCTGGAAACACACAGGCTTTACAGAGAAACCTGGGCTCAAACCCTGGCTGCCCTACCAAATAAATATGACCCTGGGCAAGTTCCTTGACCTCTCTGAGCCATGGTGTCCTTATCTCATCTGTAGGGATCACAGGTCCACTCATCGGGTGCGGGACAGGGCCAGAGGTGCCTGTAGCTGGTTCAAGGGGCAGCCAGAGCCTTCGTGGTGCAGGGACAGACCTCGCCCCAGGGCTGCTGTGCTGCTGAAGGGGCTCCCCCTCCTGCACACGCATCCACTTCGAAGCTCTGACCTGAGGAGTGCAGGCCTGCCCGTGGCTCCGCTCAGTCGGAACGTTTCTGGCACCTGCCTCTCTCTGAGATGGATTCTGGCAGCATCCACAGAGTCAGCTGTCTGACCCAGGTATTTCAGGATGAACAAGCATTAGAAATGTTTTCCTCCTTTCCTGCTCCCGCCTGGCCCAAGTGTTATTCAGATGATCGCCTCTTTGAGGCAAAAAGGAAGGTTTATTCACGTTCTCTCTTCCTCCCTCTGCCTCTTCTGTCTGGGGGGGAAGGGGGCAGCCGGAGGGATGTCTCTGCAGTGGCCAGTGAGAGTCCGGCATGGAGCTGGCCCGCCGGCTGTGTGGGGGCTGGGGCCCAGCAGCCCTCAGCACCCGGAAGCTTCTTGGACCACCATGTCCCCCAGTTTCACAGGATGCACCCCCGCCCAGCCTTGGGGCAGCAGAGGCAAAACTTACCCCCATTAAATGATAATGGCAGAAAACAGGGTTTGACCTGGCACTGCAGGTCCCAGGGTCGCCAGTCCCATGCAGTGTCTAGGCGTGGCGGGCAGGACCTCTGGGCTCTGCCTGCCTGCCTGGAACCGGGGGATGTTCCTGTGGCCTTCAGCCTCCGTGCACCCCAACACCCTGCTGGCGGCCCCGAGATGATCCCAGCTCACCAAGGCCTGTCGCTGACCCAGGTTCTTTGGAGTCCCCCTCAGTCCATCAGTGTCCATACTGCCCTGTGGGCAGGGACTGTGAGCAACCCTTGCCAGGCACAGACCCCTCCTGCCTCCCACTAACTTCCACCCAAAGCTGCACCAGAGGCCTGCGGCCAGGCACGCACTTCTCCCTGCTGTGGACGCCCCAGGCTGACCTGGCTGCCATGCACCCTGCCCTCCTGACTTCCCAGCCTCCCCCTTCAATCTCCGCCCAGGAAAGATACCCTTCCTGCCCTTCTGCATCCTTCCCACCTCAACGCCTTCTGCACCCTTTGTGGTCTGCACTTAGACTTTGGGGCCCTTACTTTCTGGAGCTCTTTTCAGATATCCGAAAGCCAGGAGCTGCACATATGTCTCCCTCCAAATGCCAAGCACCTGTACAACCCAAGTGTTTGGGCCAGAAAGAAGACTGTCTTAGGAGATCTAAAAACAATAACTTTTTTTTTTTGGATAGAAGAAATAGACAGGAAGCCAGATTACCAAGTTTCAAGTTCCAGCTCCGACAACTACATGCTGTGTGACATCAGGCAAGCTGGTGAACCTCTCTGTGTCTCAACATCCACATCTATAAAATGAGAAAAACAATAGTGAAGTAATAATGTGTTCAAAGGTATCAAACACCAAAGAATCACTCAAAAAATGTAGGCATCAATATTCAGAAATGCAACTGACTGCTTTGCTCTCAGGGACCTGCGGCCTCTATCCTAGGGGCCAGGTCAAACCCCCAAGGGCAGCAAAGGGCCACGGAGGGAGCACGCGGGACAGCAGCGTACATCGAAGATGTGCCATTTCACTGCCCCTCCCCTGGAGCCCAAGGAATGGGTACAGAGCCTCCCGGGAAGAGAATCTAGCAGCTGGCCAGCTGCCCCTGCTCTGTCCACACGGCAGCCACCAGCCACAGCGGCTGACAAGCCGTGGGTGAGTCGTCATGAACTGAGATGTGCAGTGCGTGTAAGACACATGCAGAATTTAGACGACTCTGTGCAAAAAAAAAGAAGAAAATGTACATATATACACACGCATATGCATATTATCTCTTAATATCTTCATATTTATTTCAAGATGAAATAATGTTTTTGATATGTTGGGTTTAATAAAATATATTATTACAATGAGTTCAACTGCTTCTCTTCACTTTTCTATAACGAGGCAGTGAGAAAAGCTTTCATTACATTTGTGCCGCCCACCATGCATTGATACTGCATAGGACCAGGAGCCCCTGGGACCCACAGGGTGCCAGGTTAAACCTTGTTTTCTGCCAATGGCTGGCATTCTTTTTCCACTGGATACCCTGAGTCCTTGCCATCAGCATGCATGGCCCAACCCGGCTGAAGCCATGCAGCACTCGGCCAATAACAAGGGCAGCTGCAGAAAGTCCAGGATGCAACCTCAGTCCTGTCAGCCCTGTGCCAGTGGCTGGCTGCTGGCTGCTGGCTGGGAGAGCAGCAGGACCTGGGGGAGGCTGTGCCGGCCCAGCCAAGCCTGGCCCACAGCCCATGGCTCCATCCTCCCATGGGTCACATCCAGGAAGGAGCTCTTGTACCAGGTGGGTACATAGGGGGCTTTATGAAGCCCCCGTAGAAAGCTTGGTGTACACCTCCAGGGGACACAGAGAGCAGACCTGACTCCCACCCGACACAGAATCCACAGGCCAGAGGGCTTCCCTGTGGGCCAGAAGGGGCCATGCCCTGAGGGTCAGAGCAGGGCCGTGGGGCGGCTTCCCCACCCAGAGGGCCCAGAGAGCATGAGCGGGAAGAGCCTGCAGTCAGCAGGCACGGAACAAGGGGCGTCGGTGCAGGAGCTGCAGGACCAGGTCCCCACATAGGGATGGCCATCTGGACAGGACCAGAGACCAGGCCAAGAGAGCCCCCTGCTCACCCTCCCGCTGGTGCACGCAAGCCAGCTGGGACCACAGCGACTCGGCTGCTGGTACCTCCAGCACCCACAGCCCTTCAGCCTCTGCGAAAACTGACTCAGCTGGCATATGGTCCCCCTTCCGCTTCCCTGGCAGCTGGAAGGGAGCCCGTCGGTGAGTTCCACGGGTGTGTGGAAATGGTGTGCGGGGATTCCAGGAAGTCTCCTTAAGCAGCAGCCAACGCAGGGGCCACCCCTGACTCTACTTCCTTTGGACGGGTCTCCACGGAGTCTGCTGTCCTTTCATCCTGCATCTGAGTCACATTTCCATCATCAAAGTACATCCAGTGATTGTCAACGGTCCAGCGTGGCTACACCCAGAATGGGTGTGAAGGACGAGGGGGGCAGAAGCGAGAGGCAGGTGCCAGGGAGCCATGCATGGCGTCCGGAGAACGTGGCTTCCTCCCAGGAGCATGGGGGCCGCTGAAGAGTTCACGCAGCACACTGACACACAAGGGTCTGTTTCCAGAAAGGCCACTCCAGAAAACGGATTCAAATCAGGGACCAAGAGCAGGGCCCAGGTTTCTGACTTCAGTAGCCTCAAGGCTAATGGATCCATTCATGGAGAGAGAAAACGCTGGAGAAGGCGTGTGGGGAAGATGAGCTCAGGGTTGGTGGGTTAGGATCGCGGTCAAACTGTGTCCACTAGACAGCTGCATGCCCGAGTCTGGAGCTGAGGAGGCAGTGGCCAATAATCATAATAAATAGCACTTGAGATGCCCGATGGGACCCTAGGCATCTTCATGCATGCTATTATCTCCCCTTCGTACAGATGGAGAAACTGACCCCAAGCTCATAAGCACTGTGCTGCAGTGCCCTTTCAGAGGGTCAAAGGCTGAGACAGCAGTAGAGGAGGGCTGAGGATGGCCCGTCCAACAGTCAGGAGGCCACGGGCTTTCAGCGGAGGGACGAGGTCCCATGCCAGCGTCAGCGGCTGTAGGCAACGAGGGGAGAGGACAGCGCAGCCGTGAGATGGGCCAGGTGGAGGGCAGCCGCTGGAGAGTCAAAGCAGAACTTTCTTAATGTTAGTGGACTTTTAAATGCTATCAGGAAGGAGCCGACACAAAGAGGTCTGATGACATAGGACAAAGGAACTGTGGGGTCGAGGGGGACAGACCCCCAAGGAGGCAGGAAGGGCTGGGACCCAGAATGAGTGGAGAGATTATTCCTGAGCAGTGGATCCCACTGGGGGGTGGGGGGAGAGGGGCCACGGCAGAACGCAGGTCAATTTGGTAACTTCTGGGGAAGCAGGGAATTCCTGAAGTTTTCTGATTAGCGAAAGAAGAGGTTGACCACCAGCTGAGATCCATGGAGTGACATAAAGAAGTGGGGGTACAAGGCTGGAGAAGGTTCCAGATGGTCATTCCTGCGACAGAAGAGTGTGGTGACTGGAGCCGCACCCCTCACTTCTCCTCTGCTGGGGAAGAATCTGGGGCACCCCTCACTTCTCTGCTGGGGAAGAATTTGGGGCTCGTGGGTCTGGGGTGTGACCAGAGCCTGCAGGGAAAGTCTCTCCTGTCCTGCTTTTAGCAAGGCTGTGCCCCCCACCCCAGTGGGGGACAGTTACGGTAAAGAGCAGGTACCATCTGATCTGGGGTCCAGTGCTGAGATGCCTGTTAAGCTCAACACAAAAGGTTAGGT